AAAACCCCGTTCGAAGTAAATTATCAATAAGTGTAAAATGTTGAAAAAAACAATTAAAAAACTAATGCAACAAATATTGTTTGAAATTATTAATAAAAATTAATAAAAGCTTGAATACGTTTTAATTAAGAATCAAATTGAGCCACCAATAATTTTTTGTTGTTGATGAGGCATTATCAAAAAAATCTATCAAATTACACTTTAAACAAACTTTTTCTCATCATGTCTCTGGCTTTAACAAATGGAAATCAATTCATTCTTGGAAATATTGTAGCTAGGATTATTTACATAAAAGAGTTCTTTTAAGTATCTATAAAACTTTAAATATACATGCCTCTCTTTATTCTTGAATTTTTCATTTACTTAAAAACTTATTATTTCAATCTCTCCAATTCTACAAGAATATGTTTCTGATCCTTCAATTTACTATTAAAACTACTATTCATTCTCATTGGAATTTATAATTTTCTTTTATTGGGCTACGATATTTATTTTCATAAATTAGGAAAGCTTATATTGATCCCAGAATCTTATAGCAGTTGACTTTGGATCATAACAAAAAATGTCTAAATCAGTAAGGAGTGGAATATTTGGGCCAATAAATCTCATTAGAAATTCATAAGTCTCCTAAAGTGACCCAGAATCAAGAAAAATTCCTCCGACTATAGCTTCAAATGCATCACTTAATTGTTTTTAATGATAGCAAGAAGCAATATCGATTAATATATCTAAATCTTTCACCAATCTGTTTTTTTAATTTTCATATTATTCTTAATCTCCTGATTACTTCATTTCTTGTAGCTTCTAATAATCTCGTGAGAGCTAGTTTAAATTCTTTTATTAGACTGCCTGCCTTATAGTTTCAGCTGATTTCTTAATCTCTTAAATGTAAATATCTTGGTCATCAGCATAGACGATAAACTTATCTAACCCCATTTCAATTGTTATCAAACTCAAAATGATATTATTGATCAGGCAAGTCTTTTTTTCATGCAATATTTTAGAAACACTATTGACTTATATATCTGAATCTTTTGTTTAGTCAGTTATTTCCTTTGATATTAGATAGTTCATTATTGCATCTCCAATAAATTCTTATTTCTCATTATTGAAGATCTTTTCAGACTATTTAATTCTATATGATTTGTGTGCTAAAGATCTGAAAAGAATAATTTGGTCTTTATACTTATACCCTAATATTCCTTCTATCTTAAACATATCAACTAATCTTCTGCTTTGAAGATCAGTTAACCCTTCAACAAAATTATTTTATCCTTTAATATATTCTAACTTCGCTGGGAATTCCTCGAATTTAAGTATCAAGATGCCTAAATTCCTCAAAAACACCTAAGCTCTTGAAAGATCACCTGTCTCAATTATCAAACCAACTACTGATTTCATAGCCTCCACTTAAGTCTCTTAGACTTTACTTGGTGGGATATTTACTCTTTACTATTCAGACCTGATATAATTCAGTTTAGATTAACACTTTTAAATTAGTTGTAAAATAACTATATATTTCAGAATATTTTATACTATGCTTAAGTCTTCGTGACTTTTCCCAGCAAAATCAGGAATTAATAAATCTCTTATATCTATTTAAATTTCTTAAAAGTTACTCTGGATTAACTTTTCTATCACATTACATGCCAAGCCAATTTCAGGTTCCAGATCTTTATTTAAATGTATATTATCAATTCTTTTCATTAGTTTTAAATTTTTTATTGAATCAACAAGAAATGCGCTTATCTTTGAATTTTTCAAAAAAGTTTCAATAGCACTACTAATAACCATATCAATGTAAGATTAATCCAAATGCTTCCCAATAAGTTTTTTAAGCTAATTTGCTATGAGTACCTGTAATTTGATTTTGGATTATCTAAGATATGTAATCTAGTTTCTTATTGCTGTTTTCTTTATTTGACTCTATAGATAATTAAAGGATTTCAAAGCATCTATTTTATATTTAGCACAGTCATTGATTCTATCATCAATAACATAGTTTTAAAAATTATGTTAGCTGATCTTAGCAAGCAAGCCATTATTACTCAGCATTTTACATTTCTCCTAATCAAGCTATTTTTCAGTCAAATAGTCTCCAAACATCAAAAATAATTCTAAAATTGTTAAAATATTAATGGCACTGTCTCCTAAAAAGGCTAGTCTATCCAGATTCTCATATGCATAAGGCTTATTAATAGTTAGAGCTTATCTTAGCAAGTTAGGACTCTGTAAGAAAATCTATGATGTTTGTTGTTAGCTAGATTTAGTTATATAATCCTGATTATTTATTTATTTTTTTGTGGCATCCTCAATATGTAATATTTAATGTGCCCTTAAGTAGTCTACTGGTAGGTAACCATTATTTTTCTGTTACTAGGTGAGACTAATATCTAGGCAAGGGGTAAATTCAGTGATAAATGCTTGTATAAGGACTGCCTCTTGAATTTTTTCAAGCTGGGCTTTTACCATTTTGAACTATTTCATTTCTGGCCTTGATATGATCAAGCTTTCCAATACTGGGTGATAGGTATACATTGGTTGATGCTCTTGAAAAATTTGCTTGAAAACTCTATAATCTACATTTACATTTTATCTCACTTTTTTCCATTCAGTTTCATGCTTAAAGTCATTTATTTCCAAAAAGAATCCAAATATTGAGCAATAAAACTCTCTTAATTACTTAAATCGTTTTCTTTATTGTGCTTTTTGAAGATCTGATTATATATCATATAATTCTCTAGGATGAGAAATTGAATCTTTAACATTTTTCAATAACTATGTATCTGAATTATGCCTCTTCATTCGATATCTTTTGAGAGTTTTCTACTTAAAGATTTCATTGTTGTACTTAAAATAGTTAATGTAGTAGCAACTATCGTTTTCTTTATTATAACTAAAATTGTTGCTCATTAAAGTTCTAAAAGTTTTAATTGGCCTATTATTAGCGATTTCATTTATCTAGATGAATTGTTGGCGAATATATTATATCGTATTTTAAATTGTTTTACAACAAATTTTAACCTCCCCATTTGTTTGTTTATATAAGGGGGTTATTAACGCAAAATTCTAAGATTCCAAGAAAGGTCTAAATAGTCTCAAGTTATTATCATCTCTCCCAGTATTTAGAAATTCCATTATGATACTATACTTATCTCTCTAAATCTCTAAGCATTCTTATTAAAAATATCCACCAAAGCTTAGAATACCATCAATTAAATCCTTAATGAATAAGTTTAAAGCAGAATTTAAGAAGTAAATAATCCAAGTATGATATATTTCCAATTCTTGGAGCTATTTCTTGTCTGAGATTTATATACCTCTATATTTAAAATGCATTAAATCATATTGAAATTTTCCGTAATATTTCTGCTATTTGTTAACTTTATAATTCAGATTTCTCAAATCAAAATAAATGTCTGTAAGGAATCCAATTTAAAATCTAGATTTGTTTTCATCTTCATTATCTTATTGATCAGTTTAATCTTCTTAATCTAGTTTCTCTATTTCAAAAGTGATTAAGTTAAGATTATAGGGTGCTTTAACCAATTAAGTAGCTTTTTCTCAGTTCACTTTAGATAGCGCCAGTTAAGTCATTTATTACTCAATTGATTGAGACTATTAAAGCTAAATATTTCTTAAACTTGAATTTTCATAACTTTAATGGCTTTATTATGGCATTATAAGAGACATTTTGTTTTAACCAGAATAGTTTTTGGTATTTAAATGTTCATTTTATTCACTATTCTATTTGCTCAATCTAAATTAAGGTAAATCTTTTAATTTAAAATGATCCTTTCTAGCTAGTTTAAGTTCGACAAATCCTTCTTAGCTTTTTAGTGCCTCAGTATATTATTAACCTTCGAATGTTCTCTCAAATTTTATTGACTGATTGATTTCTTGATTCTATGCAAATTGCTTACTAGTATTGCCTTTAATGAATTATTTTAAGATTGACATTGTAAATTATATTTAATAGTTTTAAAATCGAGTTATTATATTATTTAGAATCCTTCTAATTAATTATAGCATAAAAATTCATTCGGGGTTTTGGGGTTTTGGGG